CTTTTGGTAGTCAGGGAGTTCCGCTCGGTTGGTCAGATAGTGGGAGGACTCCGTACTCTGATAATCTGAATACCAATCGGCCCTCAACGGAGGATTTAAACGTCGGAGTCTCGGTCACCCACAGCACACCAGAACTTTCAATAGTCTCACTCCGTCGAGCGATAAACCGTCCGCTCCCCGCACGGTGGCGACCAGACAGACGGTCCAACTAATTATTCGTCACGTCGCGAACCGACTGCCGATCATCAACTGACCGGACAAGAATCCGCAGAAGTCTGGGACGATTAATTACCGTGTTTGTGTCAAAGTGTTTGTCTTACACACAATAGGATATGATCGTTTGTGTGGCGAGAGGAAGGAAGGTCAGCAAAGGGAAACGTGGTGTGAGTTAATTAGACGTTGATATAATATACGTCCCGTTCGTCGTGATGGGCAAACGACTCGTGTCCTTGTCGACGGTCTAATCCGTATTTAAGACTCTTTATCGGTGTCGTGTACCCGTGAAAGTTGCGATTAACTTTGACAGAAGTAGAACAAAGTCGTCGCACACAAACATTCACTAGGAAGTAGTCTCGATCGAAAATAGCAATAACAACACTTGGCGTTAAAGTAACGAGAAATCCCACGTATGGACAATCGTCGAGTACCCGTACTTGCCTCACGAAGTGACGAAAATGACTGTCAATCGAATGTGTAATCTGTAAACCCTCACCCCCTCTTTCGTGATACAATTATCGTTATGTTTAGATCAGATAGTGTTGTTTCTTCACCCCAAGACAAGTGACATATAACTCTCTCTGTCTTAGAACTAAAACAGATTAACTTGATTATAGAAAGATTTTTAGTCGTATCTTTATTACAGATAAAGAGAGGATTAAGAGATTAGAAAAAACGTTTAAGGGGAAAAAAACACCTCCCACAAAACAGTTAGAAAGTTTTTAATTTAGTGAAATATGTGTATCAAACAAAAATTGTATCCGGTTTTAATACGAAAAAACCCTAAAAAGGGTTAAGGAACATACATGACATACTATACAAAAACACCGTAAATTTTCCAGGGATTTCCGATTTTAAAGGACACTGGAGAGACTAAAATGAAAACATTGTTTCACTGGTAGTAGATACATAATGTGAAGTGACCGAAGATAAACGAATAAAAAACGAATTATAAAGCGGACGTAAGCGATCTTTATAACCTGTTAATACCTATTCCTCATATAAAATCCAACAATAGAAGACCAAAACTACCTTGTATGTAGCAAACACTCAAGAAAAATTATCTTTAAACAAAAAAACCAACCATTAATTTATCGTATAATAATAATTAGTGTGTTGTGTCACAGAAGTCTGAGTTATGAGAGCCTTGGATAAGTTTTTCCTTGAAGACTTGACAGAAAAAACGTAAGGTCAGTTTCTTAAGACAGACTGTAAGAGCCACATTACAACAATTAACAAATATGGACAATAAGATTGGACTGGTACTTCGTCGATCGACCAACGTCAAAAAACGCTTGACCTCCACAAAGAAGAGCCGTGAGCGGATGACACCCGACAAGTCAACACACTACGCACGTAAGTTAGCCATCGTAATCCGTATTAATCGTTTTGATCACATTTGCAACCACCAAGTACTGGGTAGGTTCGCCACAATCGGAGGCCCCTCAATATAACGCCCACGTTTATGTGCCCCGTCACACCCAGCCGGAATGGCGCCACCACTCGTTGTCTATAAAGTGAAATAAGTAAAAACCCCGGGAGTCGCAACTCTGCCACCCAAAAAAAAAAACAAACAAAAAAAAAAAAAAATTTCTCCTCATTATTTCGTTCCGCATCGTATGCATATGTCGTTTGTGTGGGTGTTGACGGTTTAAGACTGGCAGCGACTATAATTGTGGGGGTGCGTACAACCCCCCGAATGTACCTATGACAAAGATAGGCCCACACATGGGGGTTCGGAACCCCTCAGGTGCCCTTATGTACGTTAACTAAAAGCATTTCATTCGACATACGGGAATAAATGATTCTATCATCGTCTAATCCCATGAACGTCCTTATTTTACGACGTTATCGTATGCGACACAACACACACATTCGACACACATTCACACGCTTACACTATGCTTGGCTAGAGAACTGGTTCGTGTGGTTTTCTCGCGCGTGACGACAAGGAGGCAAGAGGGGGCTACCATTTTCTAACTCACGCGGAGTATAACTCGGCAATTCACACACATCAAAGCTCCCTCCAACAAACTGGTAACCCGATTGGGTGCTAAGGAGCGGACGCTGGGCCTCTCCCGGTATTATTAAGATAGGGGGCCGGCCAACAGTTCCGGTGGCAACGGACGTTGACCCGGGATTTCCATCGTTGCAGCCGTCCTCTATGCTCTCCTGCTCGGACAGAACAAACAGAAGGAGGTGATAAACAGAAATGAGTAGGCAATAAAAAGGAGGGTTGAGCCGTAGTCTTAAGCGATTTTAAGTAGGATGTGCGTCGACGAGGGACAATCTAAACTAAAGCCTCACAGTACATTTCTGAAAATACTTGTGAAACTACACTGAAAATTACATGTCAATTAATTTACATCGTAATTTTGTAGGCTCGGACTCGTCTTATCTCTCATTCTCGTAGAAGACTGTCGACATGTAAACAAAGGCCGAGAGAATGGGGGGGGGGGGTTAAGAAGAAGAAAGCAAAGGTTGTGAGGAAGGGAGGAGAAGAAAATACATGTATTTTTTCTACTTAAACTGGTGAGACGCTGCACACATGTCGCGTTCAAAATAACACCTGGATGCAGGAAGTATCCACGCAAAACAATATGGCTTAATGTCGGTGAACAGTCAAAGCAGTTTCTCTGCCAGAAAAAAAGATGACACCTATTTGCAATTTCCACTCATGGGTTAGTCCAGCAGAAGCAAGCCTAGTGCCAATCTTTGTTGGCAACATTTCCCCTCGCAAAATTGACCTGCCAAACTGTGACTTTGGATGGGTCAGAAGATTGAATCCCTGAGCTGAAGTGTAAATAATCCTCAAAAACCTCCACTGCAGCCGAGTGTGTTTGTGTTCATTTGGTGTTTTTATGGTCTGCTACGCTTAAAGACTTCATAGCTTGGTTTTTGATGGTGGCTTAAAAATGATTTGAATAATGGACATTTCTGGTATACACAACCGTGAAATGTGTTGTAAAGGAAACGTTACACTTTGAAGGGTTTCCAGGTTGCCTTGCATCTATTTATATTGTTCTATGCATTATTCATAAAGGCTTTAGACAACTTTCATATGAGTCTTTTGTAGATTGACGATACACACCTACATACTGACTTTAGATTTGTTCTCTGCCACTCACTTTTTCTATATTTTTGACAACACACTTCTTTGATTTTACTTTTCTTTCTACTCTTTGCATCAGTCAGTGTTTTACAATGGGGAGAGAGATGACTGTGACACAGTAAAGCTGCCCACTCAGGTGTTATACCTTATCACTATACTCAGAGTTCAAAGTATGAACATAAACCGTGTTTGCTGCTGACCTTCAAGGGTATCCAAATGGATTACAGTAGATTGAGAAGCATAAACATGAAGGAAGCATGTCATAGATTCTAGAGGTGTAATCAAACCCTGAAAGCTCAGGCTGCACTGTGAAGTTGGCGTCAAAATTAAAATGAACTGACCAAGAAAAATGGGCTTTATCGGTCTCCATCTGAACAGGCATGACAATCCCATACAAGCTTAGCTAAATATCATCTAGTTTTAAGCATGCCTCATTTTAAAAAATGGTGTATTAGACTATTTCTGCATGCTCTTTGACTAGTTTTGGATCCAATATGCACACTTCTATTCATGTGTGTTATGGCTATTCCCCTTAGTATACCCATTTTTGAAACTATACCTCACTGTAAAAATGGTGACCTATAATCAATAATCACAACCCCATGAAACTTTACAATAAAAAAATTAAAGACAGAGGGTTTTCAAAGGATCAATTTCTTTTTTTGTAGGTGTTTTGACAACCCGGGAGAGGTGGAATACTGTGTTATGTTAGTTCAGTGACTGCCTGGAGCTGTCCATGGCGCTGAAGCACTTTGAAAAAGGGTGTACTTTTCAATGTCTGTATTGTCCATATACATTGGAAAGCCAAAGGTTTCTCTGGCTAACAAGAGGGGGGTAAAAAGGGCCTCTCTACAATATGTTTGAGTTTTGAGTAGCA